GATGATACACGAAAAATAGGTTAAAATGGAAGCAAAAGTTGGCTGCACAACCAGAAATCTATGCAAATGTGAACCAGACATATGCTAAAAAGCTACGGAGTCTTATTACAAATATGGCCTGCGAATACACTAGTCTACGAAGATCAAGAAAAATAATTTAATTGTCAACTGTCTGGTGTGATACTATGCTAGATATTTATTATCCGTACTTGGATTCAATTCATAAACTACTAAAAAATTTTAGAAAAAAGCATTCAGATTGGGACGCCATATCCTACTGTCATAGAGAAATTTATATCCCCATGATTTGGCAACGCTACCTGATATGCATGACTCTAACTGCATCCGCATAGTCAGCACAAGACAAGGAAATAAAGAGCAATCCAATAGCGCGATGCGCGGGGCATCAGGAGGCGCTTGGCTCTGTGAAGATCAATAGCTCTGTTGCCCCATAAAGCCGCTGGGAAATCCTCAATAGACTGGCATGCAACCCGCCCTACGTACTCAGCCCTAAGAGCTGCCTGATCGCACTACTGCTTGAGATATCCCTTCGTGTGACCATATAGATGTGGTGGAAATGCCAACAGATTTTAGGTATTTCGTTACCATCGGGAACTACTATTTTCACCTTTTGAAGCGCTCAGCAAGGCTCACTTATTCTCATCAGGCAAGAGTATTGCACCTTTAAACAGCGCGTCGAACTTTGGCGATCGAAGTGCAGGAGACTGCCAAACGGTTAACGGATCGCGATCTGAGAACCTTGCCAAATCGGCCAGCTTGCATCAAATTTATGTTGAAACAAACGATCGCTTCAAATTAGCTGCGCTCTTGTTCAGATAGATAATCGCCTTTTTAAGACCAGTCGGAGTAATCATCGAGACTGTTAAAAGATCATCTAAGTTTCAACAAAATCATAGTAAGGCCAGCATGACGCGTTGGCGGTTATTAAACATACCTGAAAACGTAACTTGGGTTAGGTAACCATATTGCAGAGCTTAAGCGGGCTTAGCACAATGGAAGGTGACATGAGATAATGGTGGATGGATAGATCGACGAATGAGATCCGCGCGCTGATGTCTCTCGCGCATGATCACTTGCTAAGTCTGCAACCTACGGGCGAAGGCTGTAGAGCATGCAGCATTTCTGCCAGTGCAGCCTTCATCCTGTGTAAGGCTAACTCTGCAATATGGTACGCAACCAGAGTTAGGTTTTTAGTATGTTTTAATAACGCCAACGGTGCATCGTGGGGGCTACAGATTATTGTCTGCAACTAAGAATGTGTTAACCGAGTCTTATGATGTATCGACTGTCTTAAAAAAGGGATTTATCTGCTACTCTATAAAGAAGCGACTACATTTGAAGGATCTTGTTTCAACAATAATTTGGATCAAAGCTGGACAGATTATGCACGGGATTCTAGAATGGGCGATCGGTATACCTGTTGCAAGTCTCCTCAAATCCTCACAGGAAACATTGCTCGACGTTTAAAGATGAATATCTTGGAGAGGAATAATAGCCTGCTGAGATTGGCAAGGTGAAAAATAGTAGTGTTATGCGTAGAGAAACGGCTAAAATCTGTTGGGCATTACCCAGCCACATCCTATTGGGTCATGCATGGATATCTACGCAGTATGCATCAGGATTCATTGAAGGAGTTCCCATGACAGTCAGTTTGGCATGCAGTTCATGTGAGGAATTTGCGCCAGGGTTTGAATGGGGAAGGCAGGAGTATTGGATCTTCTCAAAGAGCCCAAGAGCGCTGCTAGATGCGGCTGCGGCTAATGGATGGCTTCGCTTCTATTCCACTGTCTTGGTCTGACTAGGAGGGATGGCAGTAGTATTGCATATCGCCAGATAGGCTGGCAACATATGGAGTATAAACTTGGCTACTGAACGAGTAAGTATGGCGGTGCAAACGTCTGGAATGTTTCTAAATCTTTAGTAAGTTTATTGAAACGAATCCAAGTGACCGGAATATAAAATATCTAGATATAATCAACCCAGAGGCAGTTGAACAATTAAACTTATTTTTTAGTCTCTAGACTAGTAGATATTCCGAGGGACCGATATTTTGTAATAACAGGACTCTAGCTTTTGTCAGATAATGTTGGGTCACATGTGATAGATTGACTGGTTCTGAGCAACTGTTGTTCCATTATACTAGTTGTTTGTATATCACATCAGCCACTAAATTATAATGATTGTTAATCTATATATGTTTCCCTCACGATCCGTTCTGCTGTTACGTATCATTGTATGCAAATATTGCCTGAGTAGGGATTTCATGCTTACTGGAATTGTGTCCACTTTAACTGATTTGTGCAGCACGATGGCCATATCATATTTTTGTAAATATATCTGGTTGTCGCTCACAACCATGCTGTCGGCAATTCGGTATACTGTACTTCATAGTCTGCTGTGCATACTGTGCGCCGGGAGTGATGCAAGTGGGGGGGGGGGGGGTGTAGTCTGGTAGGGAAAATACATAATATGCATTGATATCACATGCGGACCCATACCTGAAATGTTTGGGGCAATTTCTAGCGCTCCAAGGTCGGCCGACCTACCATTGGGGCGCAGTTGCAGGTTCGTGTGCTGTTCGATATTTCCTCAAATATAGCTCTTTATTTCCTGTCTTGGTCTGACTAGGGATGCAGTAGTATTCATATCCAGTAGGTGCAAATATGGATATAAATTTCTATGACAGTAGGATATGCGTCCAAATCTGAACTGTTTTCTAAATTTTAGTAGTTTATGAATTGAATCCAAGTACGGATATAAATATCTAGATATATCAACCAGACAGTTGAAATTAAATTATTTTTTGTCTTAGACTAGTGTATTCGAGGCCATATTTGTAATACAGACTCTAGCTTTTTAGATATGTTGGTCACATTGATAGATTCTGGTTTGAGCAACTTTGTTCCATTTAACTATTTTTGTTATCACATAGCCCTATATATATTTTAATTATATATGTTTCCCTCACATCCTCTTTGTGTTCGTATTTGTATTCAATATTGCCTGATAGGGATTTATCTTACTGAATTTTGTTCCATTTAACTATTTGTGCATCACATGGCCAATATATATTTTTAAATATATATGTTTCGCTCACAACCTCTTCGCATTCGTATCTGTATTCCATATCTCTGGTGCATATGTGCGCGAGTGTGCAAGTTGGGGGGGGGGGGGGGTGTTATCTGGTAGGGATAATACCATATATGATTTGATATCACATCGCGACCCATACCTGAAAGTTCTGGCATTTCATACTCGCCAAGTCACCTACTTGGCCATTGCAGGTGTGTGTTTCATATGTTCCTCCAATATATATCACAGAAATTTTCTCTAGGCTATTGAAATTTAAATTATGATGCACTAGAATTTAAGGTCAAATATTTATTTCTGTTTCTGTGGTTTAATAGAAGATAGAACATTAACAACAGACTGATGAATTATTATGGGTAAATCTCACAAAACCAACCCCCCCCCCCGCCCCGCCGAACGCCCCCCCCACCCACCAGCCCAAAAAAAAAAACCCTCCAGCAAAATGAAAAAAAACCAACCACTCCCCAAAAAATAAATGGCCTTTTTCGAGATAAAACCCTAAACTTTAAAAATGTATATTAACCCCCTTAAATTTTGTTAGATAAACCCTTAAGATTATAATCGCTTGATTTGACTATGCGTATGAAAAAAAAATGAATATAAACCCCCTTAAGTTTTATCAGATAAACCCCAAAAATTAAAACCATTAGATCCGATGCTGCGTCTAAGGGATCAAAGTCCCTGATGGGGGAAAAACTTTTTATGCTTTCTTAAAAATATTTAAATTTAATTTTCACAAAAAATCCTTAAGCTTAGTCCAATTAGGGTTTAATTGATGATTAGTTTAATAAATTAGAGTGTTTTAACTTGAAAAGGAGTATTTTGGATTTTTTTAACCGATTCATCTAACACCATTAGGGGGTTAGTTGAAAATTTTGGAAACATTTGTGGGGTATTCTGAAACACCCCAAACTTAAGGTGGGTTATGTAAAAATATTAAAGTTTAGGGGGTATCAAAACTGGCCAGGCTTAAGGGGGTTGGATGAAATTCCATTATTCTTCAAAGGGGGAATTCATAGGGTGTTGCTATAGCCTCTTATATATATTTATCCTAAACACTAGAAAATAACCATATACACTAAAAAGGAGAGTTAGGTAATAAACTCCGTTAACCAAAACTAAGCACGATACATTCATCCATGGGTCAAGCTAAAGGATTGAGTAAATGAGCGTGAATATATATTATATATAACTAATATATATAAATAATAATATATAGTCAGTATATAAGTATTTATATTGCTATTATTAATTTATGGGAGAGGTTTTAATAAAACCTCTTAGTAAAAATAAAATCTCCTTCTCAGTATGGGATAGGATTTAGTACCACAGATAGATAATATAAGCAGTGAATCGACTAGTTCACTGTGGTGAAGGTCTGGATTCATGTAGTTGATTGAGATAATCGTTGGGTAGTGAATCTGGATTCACTGCGTGTGAGGTAAGTTATGCATGTGTCTGTTGAACGTGCTAACTGTGCACTGATAACATACGACATAATCGAGATTCATCTAATGCAATGGATGAAGGAGGTGTTTAAGGTTTTTAGGCTAAGGAGGTTTTTATTGAACTCTCCTATATGATTATAGTATAATACTATTATATGTAATGAATAGTATCTATTATATATATACTATTTACTATATAACTATTATTATCTATATTATATATAAATTAACCCTGTATTTAGTCGATATTCAACAAAGTTCAAGGGTTTATGTGCAACACGCCCAAAGTTCAAGGGGGGCTATGTGAAAATAACCTTAAAGAAGGCTTCAAATCTTTTAATAGAGAATTCATCATACATCAACTGTTTTGAGTCAAATCCTTTTTCATATAAAGAAAATGAAGATTAAAAACACTATATTCCAGTAACAAAAAGTGCATACCTGGTGCAATATATCCACATGTCCCTGCAATTTCTGTCAAGTCACAAGAATTCTGATTCAACATTTTTGCCATACCGAAATCAGATACACATACCCTGAATTCCGAATCAAACAATACATTGCTACTCTTGATATCTCGATGTACTATAGCTGGTTTGCAATCATGATGTAAGTAACAAAGAGCATCAGCTAACCCTTTCACGGTCTTGATCCTCCTCTCCCAGTCCAATTCCATAGCTCTTTTTTTGTTATGAAGAACATTTAATAAACTTCCTCTCTCCATGTATTCATAAACCATGAACATATATTGAGAGTGGTAACAAAACCCGTACAGTTTCACAATATTGCAATGTCTAATTTGCCCCAATGCCTGTAACTCATTTTGGAAAGTGGTAATGTTGAACATCTCACCATCCTCTGACTGATGAAATCTCTTCACGGCGACTACTTGGCCTGTTTGCAATTTTGCTTCATACACTCTCCCATTGGCTCCATGCCCAAGACAATATATATCATCAAAATTCTCTGTTGCTTCTAGAATATCTTCGAATACTGCCTTTCCGTCAAAGTCCCATACGGAGAACATATTTGAGGTGGTTATCTCATTAGCTACCTGTGGATTTATTTGTACCTCTCGCCTTTTAAACTTTTGATGGAATGTAACATACATAATTGTAAGCAGGGAGACAACAAGAAGAAAGGCTAGAATGAGTATGACGAGAACGATTTTACAAATTTTATGATGATGATGATTCGTATTTGTTGAGGTTCCGGCCATTAGAAAACCTTTGTTACCGATCAAAGCATCTGCTGGAAATATATACTTGTAATCTATCGGGAACTGTAGATTATTATAGGAGAAGTCAACGAATGTAAATGGAGATAGCTGTGAGAGATGTTTGATAGGAGCAATACCCGATAAACTATTATGTGAGAAATTGAGATAGCTTAAATGTGAAAGAATATTTAAGATGCTAGGTGGTATGGGACCATAAAAGTTGTTACTTGACAAATCAAGCTCTATTAACATACTCAAGTTTCCTACCTGGGGAGGGATCTGACCACTTAGAGAATTTTGAAACATGTTCACTGTGCGAAGTTGTACAAGATTCCAAAATGTTGAAGGGATTGAACCAGAAAAATGATTCGTATGGATGCTCAATTCTACCAAGTTGCTCAAATTACCGAAAGAGGGAGGGATTGGACCCGATAGATTGTTTGAAGATAAGATTAAGTTTGATAGATTACGAAGATTGCCCAATGATGGAGGTATATATTCACTAAGCTGATTTTTAGAAAGATCCAAATTTTGGAGACTTGAAAGTAAACTTATGTTAGTAGGAATTCTTCCGGTAAAATAGTTAATCGAGAGAATGAGAGAGGTGAGCTGACTCCAATTTGAACTACAAATGCTGTCAGGTAACCCACCTGTTAAATTGTTATGATGCAGGTCAAGAACCTGCAGGTTAAGGTATCCTAGTTCTTGAGGTATTGAACCCGAAAGCTGGTTTCTTGCAAGAGATAAAATCTTTAGATTGTGAATTTTGGTGCCAATTGGAGCAGGAATTGACCCATTCAACTGATTCCATGATAGCTTAAAGCTCTCAAGTCTGGAAAGCGCTGTTATCTCGCCAGGAATTTTCCCTATTTGTCAAGCGAATGAGATATCAAGTCAACTAACTCAATGGATAATATTATTGAAGATAAATTACCTGTCAGTAAATTATTTGAGAGATCGAGGAACACAAGTCTGCTTAGGTTGCTTATGCTTGGAGGGATGATTCCACTCAACATGTTAGAGCTGAGATTGAGGCTAACGAGATAAGGAAAAGATGAATAGTTCAGGTTTGTGATTGTGCCAACCAATCCAAATCCTGCAAGATTGAGTGCCACCATTGATCCAGATTCATCACAGTTGATGCCGTTCCATTGACATGAAATTGTTGCATCAGTACAATTCAGGGGATGCTTCCATGATTCGAGATGTGGAGAGCCTTGGAGGCTGTTTTTCCACTTTAGTAATGCTTTAGCAGGCTCCAATGACAAAGCCGAGGATGAAACTAAGCGAGAAGGAAAGATAATTGATAACCACAATAACATCGACCATTGTATCCTTGTAGTCATCATCTGACCATCAGCTTCTCGAAGTTTCCTCAGCGTTCACACCTAAAATTGAAACGTTATTTTCTTGAAGATTAAAGTAGTTGGACTCATAAGATTAATAGAACTTGATAATCACCGACGTTTACCAATTTTTTAGAAAGAGAGGTGGATTAGAGGATGTTGGAAGGCTTCTAATTTTCAAGGTTTATCTATTAGAAGCTTCCTTTGACGAATGAGAAGCAACTTGTTTTCGCTTGCTGAAAACAGAACTCATCAATGACAATAAATACTTCTATCATTCAACTGTTGAAACTATGTCACGGAAATATTTCAATTCAATCTGCAGATTAACAACTTCTTCCTAATCAAGTTCCTAGATCACATGTTTACACTATATGAATGTACTAAGAAGTTGCATTAGAAATCTCGATAGCATTTTGAACATTTGAAGGAAACAGGCTGATGGCAAATTAAAAGATATGGTTTGTTCATGCATTAACGTATACATATATTAAACTATTAATTCTTCAGTAGATAATCAATTAGGCTATGTCAAATCACGATTCTTGAACGACCTGGCCTTTGAGGTCTCTGCAAGAGGATTAAAATCAATGTAATCCAGGGGAAATAATTAAATTGTTAGGTATTGACTGTGTTACCTGGGTACTTCTAATCTAAAACCGTACCCTTACCCGATACATATCCATACCCAAACTCCTTGGACACTCCTTGCATATATGCATATATTTATTCGGACATGTGCTTAATTATACAATACATGTTTTAATTTAAAACACTAGTCATACATTTTTTTGGACATATATCCTCCACTTCACATCCACTTCTAGAAACTCGTTGGTCATAGGACAAGTTCCGAATTATGATTTTAAAGGGTTGTTTGGATGTCTGGCTCAAAAACTAGTGATTTTCCAATTTATAATCCACAAAATAAAATAAACATAAAAATGTTTTACAAATTTCAATTCTCATCTAAATTATTAATTTCAACAGTAAATATTTATATAGTCATGTTCATGTATCCTATCTTTTACAAATTTGTCGTGCCCCATAGCGGTAACCCGTACCGATACCCATGCAACATAGGGTATTGATCTTAATTTTCCACTTAAATCCACTGCTCTTTCTAATTCTTTTAAATGTGGGACTACGTTCACACGAGAATGCTCTAACAATATTACCTTATTCTAACGTACCTTTATTAACAAACGAGACGATTCACAAATAAAATGACTAAATAACATTTTCTTTGAAGCTTCTATATATATTTTTGGAGGGTTCTATATTAGTAGAATTAATTCCAATATCCTGGTTATGAAAATTGGAAGCAATAGTTTTTGCTTCTCCTGTAAGGGTTTCAAGAAGTGAAATGCTCAGGGACCTGTATTTCCCTACCTAAACATGCACAAAACTATCATCTATGAACTTTGTAGAAATTCTATAAGGCTGCGTTTGGGAACTTGGATTTAGGCCCTGGATTTAAAATCCTGGGTATTTCAAATCCAAATCTCTTGTTTGGACCTCAAATTGGACTGAGATTTTAAATCAAATGATTTTAAAGAGGTGATTTTGAAAGCCCAAATACACGTATTTGAAATCCCACCCTCACCCTTCGTATTTACCAAATCCAAATCCGGACCCGACGACTCCCCCGATCCCGACTCCTCCTCCCTCTCGTTTCTCAGCGGCGATCCCTCTCGTTTCTCAGCGGCGATCTCGAATCTCCAGGTATCTCTCCTCTCTCCCCCTCTCCTCTCTCCCCTTCTCCTCTCTCGTCTCAACGCAGGGATCTCTCTTTGTATTTTGAAACCCTAGATCTGATCTGAGTTTGCTTTTCTCTGTTGTAGCTTTTTTTCAATTTCTGTAGTTTCTGATCTAGGTACTCCTTATATCTCGATCTCTTCCGTTAAAATTGTCTGTTCTCTATGCTAATGGGTGCCTGCCTTATGTTCGATTTTATGCCATATGAATTTTTTTTTGATAAACCAAGTTACGTACTGGTTGATGATTGAGTGACTGTTGCCTTTTGTTGTTTGGTACTGTAATTTGGGAGAATATGTGTACACATGCACTCCCATATAAATAATTCTATTTGCCTGAATATAGAACTCAAAACCCATACTTGAAGGGAAAAGAAATCGGATCCAGATAGAATATGGATATTTACATGAAGATAGGAAGTTAATTTATTCTTTTGTAAGTATAAAAGATTTGAGTCATGAAGATTTGGATTCAACAGATGAGTTCTAGTTGTAAGTATCAACAGTTCTTTATTCTTTTGTATGCTTTAGATATTGTTTTTCGGAAATTCATCCAGTTGTATTCTAAGAGATAGAATGAGACATGGTCGTGGTTAATACTATGTACTAAACCAAATGTTGAGATCAGTTTGCTGGCTTCCTGTGTAGTTCTTCTATTTTCTTTGATAGAATGAACAGTCGAGAAGTTAATTTCCCCATGTTGTATCTAAGTTGAGGAATTATATTTTTGGTGAGCTCACATGTTAATTTGTTAGCTTAATGCATTTCTACCCCAGACGAGACTACTATTCAAGACTTTGCTGCTATTTTTGTTATTGTGTTGCTGCATAAACTGGTTGAATTAGCTCATTTAGGCATCCCTCGAATAATCGAAACTGATGTTAGATTATTGGATTTTAGTACTTCAATTCAACATGATGTATTTTATTTTGTGTATCACGAAAGACTAATGTGAGACAGAACAGGCACCTGATATTTCATATGAATGCACATAAGTTTTATCGATTATATTACTGTCAATGTTGAAAAAAACGCGTTCCGTGGCGTAAAATGGCGTTTAACGTGACGTAGCGGTGGCTTAACGCTACATAGCGTTTTAAAATAGCGTAAATACCAAATAACGTACGCTATTTTCATCCTAGCGCACGTTACATGGCGTTTCATCGTAGCGTTTGATAACCTGCGTTATTTGCTTAATGACTGGGAATCGATGTTTTTCAGGGCATCAGGTGCGGCTGGTGCAGGGTTCTGTCGATCTAAATCAAAAGAGGGGGAAAACAAAAACAGAGAACTAAATCAAGAAGCTAGGGCATCAGGTGCGGGGTTCTGTTGATCGAAATCAAAAAGTGGAAAAACAAAAACAGAGAGATCAAGAAGCTTCAAGGGATCTGTCGATCAAAATCAAAAAGTGGAAAAACAAAAACTGAGAGATCAAGAAGCTTCAAGGGATCTTCGATCTACTTACCTGACGACGGCGATCGGCCACTAAGGCGACGGCGATCGACCACCAAGACGATGAAGATCGACACTCGACAGCACAAGGTTTTTAAGGGCATCAGGTGCGATGTTTTTTCTTTCGTTTTCCAACTTTTTTCTTTTTTTCCTCCTCAACGAGAAGGTTCGTGGCCAGCTTTTTTTTTTCCTTTGTTTTTTCTGTCGATCCACTTGGATCCTTGTTTCTTTTATCCGGCCTTCTTTTTCCTGTAGATAAATTAAGTGGGAAGGGAGGATCGGTCCTTTTTTTTTCTCTTTTTTACTGTAGCTATTTTAACAATAAAAAATTTAAAAATTATCTTTGTACTGGTTTATTTTTTGACTCGTGGATTAGGAGGAAAATATTGTTCTCCAATCAAACAAAAATAGAATAAAGTAAGTAAAATGAGAGTGAGAATGTAATGATTTTTTTATTTTGAGGACATTGTTTTGTGAAATTGAGAATTGCGATGATTATTCATATTTTTTTTATTTTGAATGTTATATATCTATAAATTATTTAACCTACGTTACGCTATGCGTTATCGCTATTGTAACCTAACCAGAGGTAAGCGTTACGCTATGCGTTATCGCTATTTTCAACATTGATTACTGTATTGGATTACTTGAAGCATCTCCATTTCCCTCTACTGCTAATAAAGCTAGAGTAATGTTGTGAATATTACTGCGTAATCTGCTTGCATGTTCAACTTTTAATGTGATAGGTTAAAAATGGTAAATGATGAAAGGGATTCAAGGATCCAACTTAAACGTACAAGGGAAGAATTTGAGAGGAGAGAGGATGATGACATTATTATGGTAGTGGTCAGTTTTATAGTTGCTGCCATTGGTGCTTGGTACTATACAAAGCACATGTTGAAGGAGAGTTCAAGAACACACGAAGAAGAGGATGAAAGGACATACCTTAGAAAGTCTTGGATTCGAAATCTTATTTGCAATGCAAATAACTGTGTTGAACAACTAAGGATGAATCCTCAAGCGTTTAAGAGGTTATGTGATGTTCTATGTACTAGAGGGGGATTAGTAGCATCAAGAAATGTCACGATTGAAGAAATTGTCGCTATGTTTTTGCATATTTTAGCTCATAATGTAAAAAATAGGACAAGCAAGACAGATTTTTATCGTTCAAATGAAACAATTAGTTGGCAGTTCCACAAAGTACTTCAAGCAGCCATGAAGATAGGAAGCCTCTATATTAAACAAGAATATACAAATCCTAATGAGAGAGACATAGAGAAGTGGAAATGGTTTGAGGTAACTATGACTTCTTTTATTAAGGTTTTCATGTTTAGTACTTTTGTTTAATAGAACTAATTGTAAGGTTGTGCAATTTTAGGATGCTATCGGGGCACTTGATGAGACTCATATCCAATTAACTATTCCTTTGGAAGATCAAAGTAGATATCGAAATAGAAAAGGAGAGAACAGTACAAATGTACTTGGTGTTTGTGATGCCAATTTGAGATTTTCATATGTGCTACCTGGTTGGGAGGGTTCAACATCAGATTCTCGTGTTTTGCGTGATGCTTTGCGTCGGCCCAATGGCTTAAAACTTCCCTCAAGTAGGAATATAATTCTTTTAATTATTATATATGTATTGCTTCCTAGTTTTTACATTGTTGTGACTGAAGATTTTGATTTTGTAGATAAATACTTTCTTGTGGATGCTGGGTATACAAATGGGCCGGGGTTTTTGGCACCTTATCGAGGGACTCGCTATCATATAAAGTCTTGGAGAGAAAATGGTCCAAGAAACTACAAGGAGTTATTTAACCAACGTCATTCCTCTGCTAGAAACACAATTGAGAGAGCATTCGGATTGCTAAAAAAGCGATGGGCTATATTACGGACAGCTAGCTTTTATAGTGTTAAGACTCAAATTAGGATCATTAATGCATGTTGTATTCTTCACAACTTTTTACGTGAAGAGATGAATGAAGACGACTTGTTGAATGACGTGGATCGAGAATTAGAAGATGATCCTGTTTTAGAAATTGAGAATGTAGATGAGGAGCGTATCACCACTGTGAGAGTTACAAATGAATGGAGTAACTTTAGAGATGATTTAGCTATGCAAATGTGGGATGAATACCGACTTTAAGATAATTTAGCTACAAGATGGAAATGAGGGTGACGAGTATGAAGAAGATGATGAGTGGTTGTGAGATTTTTATATATGCAGTGTAGTTTCTGTTTATGCAGTGTGGTTAATTTAGTCAAGTGCATTACTCTTGACTAAATTTGTATATTTTATATATGCTGATGACTGGTTGTAGATTTTTATATATGCAGCGAGGAACATGAAGATTTTTTTTTCTGTTTACTTGGGGCTATTACACCTTATGTTAGTCCTCGAATTTGAGGTTAGTGTTCCTTCCCAATTGCAAAAGTTTCAGTTATGTCAGTTTAAATTACTATCTTTAAGCTCGAATATTGATTCTTCTTATTGACATTAATTAAGCAATATATGGTTGGATAGAGACAGTGGCCATAGCCTATATATGCAGTGTGGTTTTATTGCTTCATAAGTTTTGCATGAACTGTTTGAGATGTAGAAATTTGATTGCTCTTTTGGCTCTATGGATCCATATGTAACAGGTTTAATGATTCGAGGGACTAATTTCATGATTCACGAATCATGTAAAGAAGCACAATGATATAACTTTGAAAGTTCCGTTCTAGGATGCAAATAATGTGATAATAACCATCAGATATTATATTCCATGTATGACTGCTTATCGATATTTGTTTCGAGACATTAGTACAGCATTCGATTTTGGTCATCATGCTGAAGTTTATGTTGTTCTTTCACTTCTAATGCTAGGAGTGCTGAAAAATATTGCCGGTAATTTTTTTCCCCTTCATTTACTTTAGTTATATTCTATTTTCAATGTTTTTCTAATGTATATCCATCAGCTATGCTGATCCTTAAGAGGAAGGCGCATCAGATCAAGAGTTGTTCGTTTCAAAAGACTTTGGAGTCACCTATTAATGTCCTTTCAATAACTCCAATATAGCTTGTGGAAAGGTTCTACGTTCAGACAATAAAGTAGCCTTTAATTGTTAAAAAAAGTACATGAGATAGGTAAAATCTAACCATATTAAAGGTGAGGGCATTAAATTATGGTTGCAATTATATAACCTCAACAAAGGTGAATTCTTATTGTATTACTTCTACACTGAAACAAACGAAGATGGAAGCTCTTCAAGGAAACATCTTCCTGGAACATCAACTAGTGGTGAGACAAGTTCAAAGAAACAAAAGAAGGGGGATAAATTGGTTGATTCACTTGCAGTGATGGCAGCTTCTGTGACTGAGTATTTTAATGAGAGAAAGAAGGAAGTAGTAAGAAAACCACCAACCGGTGAGGAGATTCATCACGTGGTCTCAAAAATACCCAACTTAAGTCGCATTCAAGTGTTCAAGGCATTTGAGAAGCTAATGGATAGCAACCCGGAAAAATTTTATTTGTTGAAGTCACTTCCTGATGATGAAAAAAGAGATTTCATTCTCTTTATTCTTAAGGAGTAGCTTCTAGTTGGATGGCAAGAACCCCCAAATCTTTGAACTCATTCGAGTAAGTTCTCTCTTGGATTTCTTTTTCTTTTTTAGGCATATTTTAACTCTCATTATTTTGTCATTTATCCCTAAATTTTGAGTACTATGGTTGATCAGCCAGATTGACCCACTGTAACACTGTTCTTAGTCTTTTCCACATAACTGCACATATACTTATTAATATACTGCTAATTAATTTCGACAGACAACTACTTGGCATTCATTCTGACAATTCATTGAACAGGATAAGGTTTCGAAAGGTTAAGCATGACTGTCCCTCTCATCAACTCTCATAGTTTTGGTTTTGTCTGATAGCTTGTTTTTCTCTAGTTTATTTTTTCAGTGCATTACTGGATTTAGTTATATGTTAGATTTAATGCCTGTATTCTGGTTTTCCATAATTGTCGTAGCTGACATTTTATGTCATTTACAATTTTGTATCATGGTTAAGATTGAACTCATTAGAAATTTCATATCATAGTATTACTGACTCTTGACATTATATAATATCTATCCCTGTCCCTTAACTGGAGGTTTATCTGTGTCATTTATGACACTTTTGACAATTTATTTTTGGTGAACATGGATTGATTTCCACTTTCTGAACTATTTGAGCCTACTGTCTTTAGTGGTCTTTACAGATGTTCAACCCATATATTTCATGTGTATCTACTTTCTGAAACGAAAATGCAACACTAAAACAAATTGCATGCTAGTGTCATAGTTTATATCTGAGGAACCTTAGGTGCGCACTTCTGATGTATTTTTCATTCTTGGAGTTCCATTTGTTCCCTCAAAATCATGTTTTTTGAAGTCATGAATTATGCTACAAAGATTAGCGCTTTAATTTACATCAACTAGAATGAGTTTGAGCTTGCTTTTAAGTAGCAGTTTGTCCTCTGATAAGAACCTGAACATGGTGCAAGGACCTTGAATACTTTACTTCGGTAATGCCTGAATTTCAAAGTAAACTGAGACTATGCGTGCACAGATGCTGGATTGACTGTAATGTTTTGTGGTAAATACACTAGTATTCTTGTTTGGATATTGTGTGATGGGAGACTTCCAGCATTAGAAGGTGAACTATCTATATGTATGTATGTGTGCATCCATATAACATAAATAATCAGTTAGTATATACTTCCAAATACTTCCAAGGTACATTGAATATGCAGATACACACTCCTATATCACATGATAACTTATAAATGGTGGTATAGGGTACTTCCAGTAAAAAGTGGCACTGTGTGCTTTTCTCAGGTTGGTTTTGTCACCTTCTTCCTAAATTCTGTCCTTGATAATCTAACATCAACAATTGTCATGGTCTCCTTGTTGAGAAAACTAGTGCCTCCATCAGAATACAGAAAGTACGCAATCCTGTACTTGTTTTCTTTTTCTTTTTTTAAAGGTTGATGGTCTTCATGATTCAACTTTGAAGTTCGATTTTTGTGCCATGGACTAATTGATGCTAAATTGTGTAATGTAGGACTCAAATTCTTCGAGACATGAAGTTGGGCGCATTGGAGAGAAAAGAGGAGAAGACTTGAAGGATAAATAGAGGATTCTAGATATGTTTTCTTTTAATAGTTTATGTTGTCGTAATTTGGCTTGTTGTAGCAAATCATGGTTACTTCTTATAGCAAATCATGGTTATCAACTACCTATGGTATGTTGTGTTTTAAATGAAGGATTGTTGTGGAGTGTAGAGCTTCTTATGAGGAGTGTTTGCTAAACTCTTTTGACTCGTCGAGTCTTTTATCATGGCTAGTTATTGGAGTAGTACTCTTGTTCTTTGGAGATTGAAGGTTGATGTAGTATTGGATGAAACCATGAAAAAATGGCGTAATAATAAATATTTTGGACATTATTATTATTTTTTGTATTCTCTCATACCGATTCATGAAGGACAAGATGTTTGCATGTATATTTATAATTGCTAATGAAGAGATCAAACTTCTGAGGGGGTCGTGAAATTTACCCTAACTTTTTCCTCAATATAAACCATAATGTCCGCATTTGATTTAATTATTAAGGAGTTAAGAGAGAGCATAAAATTTTTTAAAACACCAATTTCAAATCCAAATTCATGTATAATAAAGTGCATCCAAACATCAGATTTTAAATCTGTGATTTCAAATCCTTGCATTTAGTGATGACATCCAAACAAAAGATTTTATCAAATCATGGATTTCAAATTCTAGATTTGAAATCCCATGATTTTAAATCAACCTTTCAAATCCAAATCCAAGTTCCCAAACGCAGCCTAATAGATTTATTCATTTATATTTTTTCTGGAATTCCTCTTTGCTGCTTACAGTTGTTAGAATATAATATCGTAACCCCCGTCACGGGGTTTTGGTTTAGTGGCATGGGCTTAAGAAGAATTTTATTTTGATTTTACAAATTCTGGATTTGGGAATAATTTTACAGAAGACTAGGGATGTAAAGTAATTGAAAGTGGAGGGATCCAAATCCATGCTAGTACATCACCCCTCCGAACACATGCATGCTAGACTAATTAAACAAATAAAATTAAAAACAATTTATGAGCTACATATATAAATAAAATGTCAAGTTGTGAATATTTTACCTTAGAAAAGCCTCTTTGTTTCTCCTTCCACTCCTTCCTTTTCTTTAATTTGTATACTTAATTTTTTTTTTTAATCTTTGATGTGTTCCTTTTCTTCTCTCGCCCGAGGCACGAGAGAGAAGGAAAGAGGACAGAGGACTCAACTCCCCCTATACTTCTTGAAAGGGACACGTGTCCTCGAACCTGTTACATGCGCCTCCAGGTTTCAAGATGGGCGGCTGCTTGCAAGGGTAGAGTTTTCCAATTCGACCAGCCAGTCAAACGGATGGTGCAGAAGCCGGGTGTTTTGGATCCTGCCAAAAGAAAATGGTACGGTGGGCGATCAGGCCACGGATCTAACATTTTTCTTTTTTTAGAAGAGTCCCACCAGAAGCATATCATGAACCACACTTTCAACCACACCCCTACACTCTCTATAGTGCTAGTGGGTCATGCATGATATTTTTTTAAAAATATCGTGCATGGCCCACTAACACTATAGAGTGTGTAGGGGTGTGGTTGAGAGTGTGGTTCATGGTGTGCCTCTAGCATTATTTTTTTCAGAATACTTACAGTTCTGGGCGATCAGATGACAATAACGGATCGAACTTAATTTTTTTCCCCAGAATAGTCATAGTTCTTTTACTCTATTTGCAGAAAAATTGATCTACTTATAATTACAGATTAATTACGATATTAGGTTGATTTGGTAGAATCCATTGGTTTGACAATTTTTTGCCTTTTCTTTTTACAGGTTTGTACGTGTACTAAGTTGGATGCATGCGTATTGCACGTGGTTAAATATTATTATTGTTTCTTTTTAGTTTAAGTAGAGTTGAGATAATTGGTAAAGTGGGATAATTTTTTGACACTCGAATAATTTAGTGGAATAATGGTGGATAATTTTTGAAGTGGGATAGTTTGGTAGGATAATTTGGTGGGATAATGGTGGATAATACTATGAAGTTGTATAATTTGGTAGGATAATTTGTTGAGGTAATGGTGGGTATATATTACTATTGTTAATAACTATATATTAAAAATAATATAAGATTGATTAGTAATTGATTAGTCTAGTAATAACTATAAAATATAAAGTAATAAAGCATCACTATTCATCTCAAATAACAAAGTATTTTACAACTAATAAAAATCTAATCCTTAGAGTGACTTGACTTCCATCGTCCCACATGGCCTCTGCCATAAAATTTCTCCGAGCTCCTATAGCTGCTCGTTGATTCTATAACTAGTCTTTTTCATCGGAGTCGTCATTTGCATTAGCAACATTTTGTGGAGCTTCTAGTGTAAGATCAGAAATGTCAAAGTCGTCATTTGTTTTCTCTAATTTTAAAAAGTTATGCAGTCATATGCATGCAATTAACATCTTTATTTGTGTGACACGGAAAACCTGGAGGTTGGCACTTGAAAATAGTGAATATAGACTTAAAAACTAAGGATGCAGTCGATACAATTTCTAAGAGACGCATGTTGATGGTTGAAAACCTCTTTTGAATTTCGTGGTCATTGTCGATTTTGAGCAGGGCTGAACTCTGAAAGATAGTACCTTTCACCTCGATATGGAGCAAGAAATTGTATCCTATTTGGATAACCGCAGTCAACTAAATAGAATTTACCTACAAGCAAGAATAAAAATATAAATGAGAAAAAATATTATAAAACTAAAAGATATTATTTAATTGATAGAATAATATGTAAAGATTATTACTATGCGGAAGTGGATGTCCATAAGGTCTATTCATTGCATCCTTCAGGACTCTTGCATCATGTAAAACCCTAGAATTTTTATAAATTTATTTGATAATTTATTTAAGCTTTTATGAGTTTTATGATGTGTGTTTACTATTCTATGATGAATGGAATCAGTTAGAATTTATTTGGAGTTTGTTTGTAACTCGGGTTGCGATACCGCGAGTCTGCTGTCGCACAGCAGTTTGATCTGTTTCTGGTGATCGGATGGGCCTCTGGATGGCGCCATTGATCTTAGAATGTAGTCTTTGTGCTATGAGCCTAGTTTGGTTCGATTTGTACTTCGTTTGTAGTTTCGGTCTCGGTGTCGCGAGACAGCTCAAAACCTGTAGTTTTTCATTTTTAATATTTTATCTATAACTCGGATGGATGTACAGTCAGTGTCATTACTCTCAAAACATCGATACCATGCTGGGAGTAAATCAGTAATTTATTCTGACACCGGATAAAATCAGCTGAACTTCGAGCTGGTAAAATACACGGATATATATTTGTGTTTATATGCTTTGACTTAAGTTATTATCTATTATGGAGAGTTGACTTGGTCAACTTTTACCATGAGCCTTTGGATGAGGGTTTGGGTAATAGAGATTGGATCTAGACCCTTGATTTCTTTTTAAGAGAATGAGAGTGTAAGAGAGAGGGGGATATATATATATTTTGTCATGACCATTCTCTCTCTCTCTAACCATCTTCTTCCTCCCATTAAGCTCACGTGAACCCATGGCCATGGTGGGTCAAAAAAAATTTGGAGGAATTTGAGAAAACTTCGTGAACGAAAAGGATTGCGTCGAGCGGATCTACAACTCTTGTGAAGGTCGATCCACTAATTCTCAATTTTTGGAGATTGAATCCCTCTCAAGGCAAGTTCATCTCCTTCAATTCTCACACTCTTTTAATATGTTGTGTTTAGTTGTGTCCTTGAGTTAGATTCATGATCAAATACTTATATTTTGACTAATTGAATTATAAAGATGTTTTTATCCAAACAAAAGACTAAGTTACATGCAAAACAATCCAAGAGGGGTCCGATTGTCTTTCCAACGCACGTACATAAATTTTAGCTAAAAAATTAAGATAACAAATAAACTCTAAACTGAACCAAACCAGTGCCTAATGAAAGCTGTGTAAATTTATTTTCCAAAACAGAAAATTATTCTTAAAAAGAGTTTTTCTAGAGAAAGTTATGCTTAATTTACTAATGACATATTCTGCAGAAAACTGCTAAGTGTATGTGCATAAATTTTAGCTAAAAAATTAAGATAACAAATAAAACTCCAAACTAAACCAAAACAATGCCGAATGAAAACTATGTGAATTTAGTTTCCAAAATAGAAAATTATTTTTAAAAAGAGTTTGTCTAGAGAAAGATATGCTCAATTTACTAACGACATATTCTGCAGAAAACTGATGCACAAGGCTGATACCTCATTGGAAAGAGGGTTACGCAAAGTTTGGGTTTCGTTCCTTAGTAATCGAGGCATGACCTTCACAATATATATATGGATGTAAGCATGTTGTACGAGATTATATCGATGTAAGCATGTTGTACGAGATCTATAGGTGGTGCACGTGTTTAGCCATAGATCTCTCGCAGCTTAATTTTGATATTTGCGCGATACGTTGGAGCACGTATCGTCAGGGAATTGGATGATCACGATGGGGTAATGATTATCTATTGCATTATTGGCATTATAAATTTAATATATGTTGATATGAGCTTGTTTATGATAACACAAGCATGTTGCCTGAGTTAGACCTATGAGCCACTCAACAGATTGTTGCTTGAGATGGTCCTACGAGCTACTTAGCAGACTGTTGCCTGAATTAGGACTATACATCACTCAGCAGATTGTTGCCTGGGTTAGGCCTATGAGCCACCTAGCAAAAATGTGAGTTGGACAGCGAGCCACTCCAACAAAAATTTGTATTTGGTTGTGAATTACTTAATCATGTGCATGAGATATGTCGTCGAATGCATATGCTCCTTAACCTATACTGTTATGGGATGGGTTTCACGTTAGTGCTCAGGAAGTTATTTTTCTTTAATTGTTACAAGAAACTTGTTGTAAATTCGTGATTGTTGAGTTCGTTCGCGACCAATTGAATGAACTACGGACGGCTTGATCCCTTGGAGAGAGGATACGTAGGCAACCACATTAGTGCAGCTGGTTTTAAAGCTTGTACGAGTTTTGGTTGAGATGTTCTTGACGACGTGTAACGTCATTGTTTTAAGTCTATTTTAGGTAGATCTTTAGGAGCGCAAAGAGGCGCAAACTAGCTTGTAGCAGCCAACCTTGCTTTTGCTAGGTATTACTCCATAGTGTAGTTTTTGCTGTCTTTACTCTTATAGCCGGAGCCGGGCCGTGCCTGTGTAAGGTTTACCTTTTTGGAGGTAGAGAGCCTCCTATGAATATGTATATTTTTGTACAGTGTTAGATATCAGTTGTACTTGAATATCTGTATAAAGTCTGTTAGATTTTTGTTCTTGTTTAGAATTTCTCAAATATATGATATATGTTCACTTTTCAGCTCCGAACTGTGTTGTGCTTAAATTTCAGCTTGAGAATATTATAAATTATTATATTGTAGGCGTCAAAAATTACCTATAGGTCCCGAACATAGCTCGAGACGACAAGCCGTCGAGCGATGAATCGTCAGATGACGTGGCGACGAGCCGTCGAAACAACAAAGCGGCGAATCGCTGATGACATTGCAATAAGCCACTGGAACGACAAACCAAGTGGCCCGCACACTCGTCAGCCACCTTTAAGTTAATAAAACGCATCAAACAAACCGATGAAGCGTACAAGTCAACGAAACGACGAAATACGCGGAACAGGAACAAACCAGAATAGCCCCCCACCTACACCACACTGCACGCTATTGAATTTGGTGATTGTGTGGGTGTATGTTTTAGATCTAAAGCAGTTTTCCTTCAAGAAACTTAAACCCAAGAATAGATAAGGGGGAGAGGAAGATCATGAGGTTGTCTATTGCCATTCTCCTCCTCCTCTTTTTCTTCACCTTCAGTATTGATCTCAGCAGCTGCAGTTCCAACTTTCAGTTTGATGCTGAGCTACAGGTTTCTGCTGATGGCTGCAGCGGAGAAAATGTTGGAGAATGCTTAGAGATGAGCAGCAAGAGAATTCTTTGGGCGGCGACGACTGTTAGTGGTGGTGGAAAGAAGAGGTACATAAGCTATGAAACTCTGAGGAGGGACAATGTGCCCTGTAATAGGCCTGGGATGCCTTACTACAACTGCCATGCTCTTCCAAAGGCCAACCCTTACACTAGGGATGCAGTGTACTCACCGGCTGCGCTCGAGGCGATTGATTCTTCCTCATTCACTAATCTTGCCTTCATGAACTAACTTAATGTATTCCTCTTTTTCTGTAGTGGTTGATTAGTTTTTCAACTGCTTATAATGTATTATTATTACTTTTAATTTGTCTTATATATGCTATCATGTCTGTTGAGAACAATCATTGTGTATGATTTATTACTATTTAGCATTAGTGGTTTGATACTTTTGTTTAGCAGTGCAATGGTTGAATCATGGGGTGAGCTTGGGTGTGGATCACAGTCGGCGCCCGGCCCGGCCATAAAAATGGTCGGGCCAGGTTAGCTGGGCCGACCAGGGCCAGCCCGTGGCCCGTCCCAGATGCAATGATTACTTACGTGACCGTTGCAGGGCAAATGTCGGGCTGGCCCGACCCGGCCAGGCATAAACGGTCACATAAGTGACCGCTATTTTGTCACAATGGTCAAAATTTGACCGTTGTGGCCGGCCCAGCCATAATGGTCATTTTGACCGTTTTGCCCCCAAAACGGTAAAAATGTTAAAAAATGAGGGTTTTTTTGTCATTTGTTTAGGGGCCTGCCTTTATAAATAGAGGGGTTTTTTATTTGTTTTCCTTATCCAAAACTCATCTACTTCTCTCTAATGCTCTCTTATACACTCTTATACTCTCTAATAACCGCTTTAGCTCTCTAATTCTTCAATCAAATTTCTTCCGGACTTGATTATGAAGAGTAAAACCCAACTTCGGAAATGAGTCCTCCTACTATAGCTACTCCTCCTACTCCTACCGATGTTGATCCCGAATCCGGTGGTGATGATTCTACACCAAGAGCTCCTAAAAGGCTGAGATTCGATGTGTGAAATTTTTTCAAAAAGATAGACGTCATCAGGGATGAACACGGTAGGCTTCTCACCCAGAAGGCTAAGTGTGCATTGTGCGGCTATTTTTCCAAGCTCATCATAAAAGCGGCACCAACCATCTCAAAAGCCATTTAGATAAACACAACAAAGGCCAGTCCTCTCAAGGTGATATCCGGCAATCTATGCTCTCCCAATCATCATCTTCTGGTAGTCTCGGTAGTTAGAATTATGACGCAGCCCAAGCCAGGAAATGCGTCATCAGGTTTGTCATTCTTAAAAATATTCCTTTTAAATTAGTAGAAGATGATGAATTTGAAGATTTATTAAAGATGGTTTTTACTCCGCATTTAAAAAAATTTCTCGTCAAACTTGTCGACGTGATATTTCAAAACATTATCAGGAGGAACAAGAAAAAATAATTTCTTATCTTCAAAGTTTAAACTGTAAATTTTCTTTAACTTCTGATATTTGGACATCTAAAGCACAAACTGATTATTTATGTATCATAACATACTGGATTGATGAAAATTGACAAATGTTTAAAAGAGTTATTTTCTTTATTGCATTTGAAGAGTTACACACTGGTATTAATGTTACAAATTTAATAATTGAAGAACTTTTAAAATTAGAAATTCAAGAAAGAATATTTTCTCTTTCACTAGATAATACAAGTAATAATAATGTAGCTATTGATTTTATCAAAACATCTCTACCATTGCCATGTAATGATGATCTTTTTTATATTAGATGTATATGATATATTTTAAATTTAATTGTTCAAAGTACATTTAGTGAAATTAAACACATGATAGAAAAGGTTATGTCAGTAACTTATGCTCATAATGCTTCTGAACAAAGAATTAGAAGATGGAATCAATTCTGTAAAAGAAAAAAAAAATACAAAATCCAGATTAATTCCAAAAGATATTGACCATAGGTGGAATTCCACCTATACAATGTTAAGTGTAGCATTAGAATATAAAGAATGTTATAAATGAATTTATTGCTTTTTATACTTCTAGTTCTAGCTTTGGTAGCATGTATGGAATAACTGAAGATGAATGAACAGTTATAAGTAATTTAAAAGATATGTTATAAGTTTTTTTATGATGCTACAATGTTATTATCTGGTTGTTATTATCCAACCATTACTTTAGCTGCTTTACAAATTTTAAATATTCAAATAAAATTAATAAATATTGTATGGATATTTATTTTGGAGATATAACTTTTCAAATGGAAAGTAAATTTAATAAATATTTTAGGTTTATTCCTATAATTTTTTATTTAGGTGTTCTTATTGATCCATGTATGAAGAATATTAGCCTTAGAAGTTTGTTAAATTTCTTGTATAGTGGACAGATTATAGACACTGATGATGGTCAAACCATTACTGCTACTACTCATCATAATACTATTAGAAATTATTTTTAAATATTATATGATGAGTATGCGGCTAAATATGGTGTAGCTACACATCAGTCTACAGCTTCGACTTCTTCGAGCTCAAGTCGGGGCAAAAGCGTAAGTTTTAATAGGTATGCAATGGTAGCTGAGCTAACTGGTGGAATTGGACTTGGATCATCATTGGAGGTTTCTAAAATTGATCAATATTTAACTGTATCTTTAGTTAAATGTCAAAATAATAGTTTAGATATTTTGTAATGATGGAAAGTATATGGAAGAGTTTCATATTATATACTTTCCATCATGGTTCGTGATTTATTAACAGTGCAGGTTTCCACGGTAGCTTCGGAATCCGCCTTCAGGACAGTTGGACATTTGATCGACGACCATAGGATATCGTTAGATCCGTATACTGTACAGTCGTTGATGTGCTTACACAATTGGTGGAGGTACGAGAAGAGAACGCAAGGAATCGATAAGATGGCTAATATTGAAGATAAAGTTGAAGAGTTGGGACTAGCAGATAGATATAAAGAGTAAACAATATTCATCAAATTGTAATTTTTATTTCTTTGCTAAAAATTTGTAATAAATTATTTTAAAAATAGTTGCAAATGATAGTGATAATATAGGTGAGTAGGTGCCAACCTAGTTGGGATGTACTCATCTATTGTGATGCGACGAATTCGAAAATAAATTTATAATTGTAAAAGATTTACTGATTATTAATAAAGAAGTTGTTTTTATCATTTTAATTTTTATAATTTTTATTATTTGTAATTTATGTAATTTCAAGTGGTTAATAATAAATTTTTTTAATTTTTTGTAGTTTTTTATGTATTATTGAAAATTTAAAGAGAAAAATTTGAAAAACAAAAAAAACTACGTCGGCCCGGGCTCGGGCTTCGGCTCTGATTTTGCCAGTCCTAGGCCCAGTTTTCTGGACCGGCCCGTTTGGACACCCCCACCAATTGCCACCACCTAAGTATGACAACTTATAAAATGTGAACTTTAATCTTTGACGTGTATAACACTAGAAATAATAAAATCAAGGAAAATTGCAAAAATTTTCTTATGCAACTAATTTTGTTTTTAATATAATTCATCAAAACAGAACACAACCCATAGTCATAATCTAGAGTTAAACCTCAATCAATGTCCCATAATCGTAATCTTGAGTTTTTTTTAATATATAAATTCCACCAGCTTATAGGTTTTGCAAGATGCCTTGAGAATGATTGTAATTTGACTCTCCAAGATAATACTGTCTTTTGCACTTGACATTTCTAATTTTACATAGACTAATCTCTTTCCAAAAGATATGCATTTTCCCACTAACTAAAAAGTCATCACATGCTTAAAATCTAGTCCGGTAAGACTTATCACTCAATGCATCTTTACAATTGAATTTGTTTTCACAGATGACTGCTAAATTTGTATATACAAGAATCCCTATTTTATCGAATCAAAATCATAACCATGTTGAGATATTATAAGTACACTATGTTTGTTGTTAGTCAAAAGAGATCGTGATTGACAACATGAAACAATAATGTGCAGATAATTTCAGACTATAAACTGAAACAAAGCCATTAAGATTTGTATACAATACACAACACGCAAGAAGCAGGACATGATACCTGACATGGATTAAGGTACACAGCCCTAGATAGAAATATAGGAAACTTTCACAAGCATGTGTATGTTCACATGTTAGTGGGTCATAATATCCTCTGCTTTGTTAACTTAAAATTCAATATGAAATTATTAGGTGCAAGGTTTAGGTGGAAATTAACGGAGTCGTTCACATTCTACATCCACACAAAAAACTAAGCTCCACCTATTTCAATGAATATGACACAATCCATTTGTGGGTGGGATTCATGCACATCGTATTTTCAACCTAAAACACAAACCAGAAAGCACCTTAGTTGGTGACCCCAACACTTTTCTCAGGCCTACAATTTCTTTTTAGTAGGTTTCGGCTGTAGCAAAGGTTTGTTCATCCCTTTGGAAGAGATATTTGTGTGAGATTTGAGAGCTTGTTTGAGGTTTTAATTTGTGTGATTGTAAACCCTATTTGAATTTGCTCTCTCTAATAGTAGATCTTCCCCCTCCTTGCCCCGTGGACGTAGGCAACTTGCCGAACCATGTAAAATTCATTGTCTTGCTGTTATTTGTAATAACATGTTTAGGTTCACTTGACAAGTCAGTCCTAGAACTGATGAGAGGAAGAGTGTATATCCCACTTTGTTGAGATATATCACTTACGGTTCTTGTTTCCTTTGTGAAACAGAGATTTAGTTGAGATCTACTCTCTTGTTGTGCACCAGAGGTGCTACCGAAATTTCCGCTACGCACAACAAGTGGTATTAGAGCCCAGGTTTTGACTTGGGGCTTGTTCGAAGGATTCGCTGAAGGATTCTTATTTGAAGAGTTAGATCTACAACATGGGTAAAACAAGCACATCGGGATCGTATCTTACAAAGGCGATACAGAGTCTGAGCATCAATAATACAAAGATTGATGTTTCGAAGTTCGACAACAAGATCAATTTTGGTTTGTGAAGATGCCAGGTGATGGATGCGTTGGACGCACAGTATTTAGAGGAGACTCTTGAGTTACAAGAGAAACCTAATGATATAGAGGACAAGGTTTGGAAGAAGTCAGTAGGGCTTGTGGAGTTATTCGATCATGCTTGACGCTAGATCTTATTTATGATGTGATGAACGAGACGTCAGTGAAGAAATTATGGAAAATACTCAATGAGAAGCACCTTACTAAGAGCATTGAGAATCAGC